GTAGATGAATGGATAAAGACGATGTGGTACATATACACAGTGGAATATTATTTGGCCATAAGAAGAAAACAAATCCTACCATTTGCAACAACATGGATAGAGCTAGAAGGTATTATGCTCGGTGACCAGGCGGAAAAAGACAAGTACCAAATGATTTCACTCATCTGTGGAGTATAAGAACAAAGAAAAAAACTAAAGGAACATAACAGCAGCAGACTCACAGAACCCAAGAATCGACTAACAGTTACCAAAGGGAAAGGGACTGGGGAGGATGAGTTGGAAGGGAGGGATAAGGGGGGAAAAGGGGCATTATGATTAGCACACATAATGTAGGGGGGGACATGGGGAGGGCTGTACAACACAGAGAAGACAAGTAGTGATTCTACAGCATCTTACTAACCTGATGGGTAGTGACTGTAGTGGGATATGTGGTGGGGACTTGATGATGGGGGGAGTCTAGTAACCATAATGTTGCTCATGTAATTGTAGATTAAAAAAAAAAAAGGAATGTACTTCATAACCTTGGGGTCTCAAGAACATCATAATTACCTAGTATGTTATCTTCTATACTTTTGAAAATCCTTACAAACAAAATGCTTGTGGAATAACTACTCACTTTCAAAATTTATGTAAAAGGGAGATTATAGAGAGAAGCCTATATCTGCTGCAGTGAGAAGTGGTAAGAATAGAACCACACACTGTAAGAAGAAACTGAAAAGTCCATAAAAAAACTGAAATTCTAATTTGAACACCATTTGTTAAAATGATATAACTGGCATTATTTGGTCATTCTGGGAAAAGTTATGTTTTCTAAGAAAAGTCTTCCCTACTGCTTTGTCTTGGCTTGCTTTAATTAATATATAACCTATAACTTAATAGGCTTACCCAACATTCCAACAACCTTGAAAAGTATTAAGAGGTACTTCTGCCATAATAGTAGGTAGAAATGGTATTACTAGGAGATAACTGTGCTGAGAAAAACTCATCAACTAATCTTTTACTACCATAGTTAGCGGCATTATTATAAATGCCCAGGGGCCTTATGCACATTATGTAGAGAGGTTCATTCATCTGTATCAACTACTAAAGAACAGAAAATAGGCTGAGTAAGACTTGACTAAGAATGACACAGCTAGCAACTATCCCCACATACTAAGAATTCAATAAATCGTGGAGTTATTTAAATTGAAAGACACTTATTAGTAAAGTTTTAAACAAAGTCACTACAATAACAGTGAAAATCACTTACAAATATAGATTCATCAGAAAATAAGTTTCCTTAAAACCACTGCCCATCCGAACATCTGACCCATCAAATTTCTCAGAATTTATATTTATGGCATATCATGTAGCAAGGGCCTGGGAAGCGCAGTCTTACTGGCTTGTCTGCTACTGAGATACTTCTAAGGAATCAAGTTAAGGAAGGAGAGGGAGTATTTCAGCCCCACATGTTGTACAGATCTGAACTGGAAATGGGGGGCTAGAAGGACAACAAATTTTGAAGCTCTCAAATTAATGTGTGAATTTCACAAAGCAAGGCAGAATATTTTAAAAATAGTCTATAAGGAGCAGAAACCACAAAGCCCAAAAAGAAAAATGAGAATAACTTAAAAGACTTCACCCATTTACTATATTTCAGAGGTCCAGTGAATCCCATGGCTTCTATTATCTTCGTGAAGGCACCAACCTTCTCTTCAACAGGCAGTGGGAAATCCTTGGTAGTCAGAGGCTATTTAATCAAAAAGAAGGAGACAAAATTTAGTTGCAAAACATAGTTCTTCAAAAGAATGTTTTTGTTTTTCATTAGGTCTAAGGGCATTTTTATTGCTTAGATTTTTTTTCACATCTAGAATTTTTAATTCTCATTTTTCTAGGCATCTCATCACTCAAGGACAACACAGCTGAAACTCTACTAGTTGTCTTACAAATTTCAGAGAAAGACAGCTTGCTTGACCGTATGTTTAGATTTGGGGAATTAGAATAAAAGCTCTATGGAAAAGGATACTGTTAAAAGGAAATCTTGACCCCCACACCATCTCTCAACAATTTTAAGAGAAATGTTTCATATTTTTACATGAAAGAAAAATACTGTGTGAAAGCAGTGAAGTCACTCAAAAATCATAATCAACCAAGTTAAGTACTGATTAAATGCTTTCAAATTCCTGCATTTTTAGTATAACAAATTTTATTAATGACTATAAAGGCAAGAGTCTTATAGTTTACAAATAAACTCCAAGGAAAACCTATTCTTATGCTAAGTATCTCCAAATGAAGGCAGGCTATATAACCAATAAGAAGCTCTCCAGAAGTTAAATATTACTTTATTTTTAACATACAAAAAAACAATAATGACTTTTTTCCCTAAAGTGTTTTCCATGAAGACAGTACAATGGAAGAAATACAGGACATGGGATCAGAAGCCTTAGGTTCAAATATTCAGTCAGTCTTTCACTTATCATCCTTGTGACCTTCAGCAAGTCATTTCACTTCCCTGAACCTCACCTTCTACATTTAATAAAACTTCTTGACTCATCCAGCTAACAATTTTGCTGAGATTCGAATAAGAACACTTGTGTGAAAGCACTTTACAGATGTAGAAAGCACTACTAATTCTCACCTTATCTGTGGTGTGATACTTCCTACTCAGCTGCATATCTAGTCCAGGAATCTGTTCTGATCCACCACATGCTAGTGATTGGCTCACCTGGGGCAACTGGTGGATAAAAAAAAACAGATGAAAGCAACAATGCATAGTCACTTAGAGGGTTTATCTGAGCAGAGCTGCTTCAAAGTAAAGACTATTCAATCTTTCCAACCTTGCTTACCCCACTCCCTGGTGATCTAATTACAAGGAGGATCCAAGATGGATACCTAGAATGGTATCTGGTACATGGTAGGCACTTAATAAAAATCTGCTAAGTATTTGAATAAATAAAAGGATTTGGCCCTGGGAATCCAGAACTAAATAAACCAGAGACAACTCTAGGAACTGGAATTGCAATAAATACCACTTAAACATTGGCAGCAGTGCAGTATATGCGAGGAAAAAAAAGACTAACATCAGTCAGTTTTAAGCTTAAAACATGCTTCTACCACTTACAAGCTGAATGGTCAGTGGCAAGTTACTGAACCTCAGTTGCAGTGCATATTAAAGGAGAAAAATACATATAAATTACCTTTCAAAAAATACTCAATAAACAGTAGACACTTCCATCATCACCAACATCATTGTTCAGACCACAATGCCTTCCTTTTATGTTCATACTGCATATGAAAGCACTTTGGCAATATAATAGCCGTTATTTATGATTATTATGGGCCAGGTATGCTAAGTGCCTTACATATACTACCTTATTTAATCCTCACCATAACCCTATTAGTTTAGTATTGTTATAATCCAGACCAATAAACATAGTTGTGAAAATAAATTCCTAAGGAAGAAAACTACATGCAAGAGATCATCATTGTAGCATTATTCACAGGAGTGAAAACTGGGTTAAAATCCAATAAGGAGGGGGAGGAGCCAAGATGGCGGCATGAGGAGAGCAGCGGAAATCTCCTCCCAAAACCATACATATTTTTGAAAATAAAACAAATATAACAATTCCTAAAAGAGAGACCAGAAGATACAGGACAATAGCCAGGCTACAGCTACACATGAGAGAACCCAGCACCTCGTGAAAGGGGTAAGATACAAGCCGCGGCCCAGCAGTACCCAAACGCCCCTCACCCCCGCTCCCCAGTGGGAGAAGGGGACTTGGAGCAGTGAGGGAGAGGGAGCCCAGGACTGCTAAACACCCAACCCTAGCCATCCGCACCAAGAACGCAGACACACAGTACGTGGTGTGCTGGACACTACGGAAACAGGACAGCAAAACCTGCGAGTGGGTCCCCGCACCCGGCGCCCCTGGGACAAAAGAAAAGCGAGTGCTTTTTGAAAGTCATAAAGGGAAAGTGGCCTCAGAGCAGGACAGAAGCATCCCAGCACACTCAGCCTAGCAGCTGGGAATCCCAGGGAACTCCAGGTGCCCTAACCCTGGGCGGCAGCGCAGCTCTAAGGCCCCTCACAGCAATAAACAGCCTCTTGCCCGTTCCCCCTCCAGCACAGCTCTGCCATATCAGAGCGGCAGCCTGAGGCTGGCCATGCCCACAGCAGCCGCCCAGGCCAGACTTAGAAGCCCCGTCTCCGCCGCAGCTGTCCAGCACAAGTTGCTAGGGGTCGCCATTCTCACAGGAGAGGAAGGCCACAAACGAGCAAGAAGGGACATTATTGTCCCCGCTGACACATGGGACAACTCCCCACAACTACCTCTATCGCCATGAAAAGGCAGAAGAATTTGATCCAGACCAGACTAACCCAGACATCCTCCCCTGAGAAGGAATCTGGGTAGATAGACCTAACCAATCTTCCTGAAAAAGAATTCAAAATAAAGGTCATAACAATGCTGATGGAGCTTCAGAGAAAAATGCAAGAGCTAACTGACAAAGTAGGGAGGGAGACTACAGAAATAAAACAAGCTCTGGAAGGACTTAAAAGCAGAACGGATGAGATACAAGAGGCCGTTAATGGAATAGAAACCAAAGAACAGGAACACAGAGAAGCTGATGCACAGAGAGATAAAAGGATCTCTAGGAATGAAACAATATTAAGAGAACTGTGGGATCAATCCAAATGGAACAATATCCGAACTATAGGGGCATCAGAAGAAGAAGAGAGAGAAAGGCTTAGAAAGTGTCTTTGAAGAAATAATTGCTGAAAACTTCCCCAAACTGGAGGAGGAAATAGTCGCTCAGACCACAGAAGCACACAGAACTCTCAACAGACGGGACCCAAGGAGGACAACACCAAGACATATAATAATTAAAAAGCAAAGATCAAGGACAAGGGCAGAGTTTTAAAGGCAGCCAGAAAGAGAAAAAAGGTCACCTACAAAGGAAAACCCATCAGGCTATCATCAGACTTCTCAACAGAAACCTTACAGGACAGAAGAGAATGGCATGATATATTTAATGCAATGAAAGAGAAGGGCCTTGAACCAAGAATATTGTATGCAGCACAATTATCATTTAAATATGAAGGAAGGATTAAACAATTCCGAGACAAGCAAAGGTTGAGGGAATTTGCCTCCCACAAACCACCTCTACAGGGTGTTCTAGAGGGACTGCTCTAGATGGAAACACTCCTAAGGCTAAATAGATGTCACCAGAGAAAATAAAAATCACAGCAAAGAAAGCAGACCAACCAAATACTAACTAAACTCAAAAAATAAAATCAACTACCCACAAAAGCAGTCAAAGGAAACACAAAAGAGGGCAGAATAAAACACATAACATATAAAGAATGGAGGAGGAGGAATAAGATGGGAGAGAATTAAAGAATCATCAGACTGTGTTTATAACAGCTCAATAAATGAGTTAAGTTAGTATGATAGTAAAGAAGCTAACCTTGAACCTTTGGTAACCATGAATCTAAAGCCTGCAATGGCAATAAGTACATATCTTTCAATAATCACCCTAATGTAAATGGATTGAATGCACCAATCAAAACACACAGAATAATAGAATGGATAAAACAGCAAGACCCGGGGGGCGGAGCCAAGATGGCGGCATGAGTACAGCAGCGGAAATCTCCTCCCAAAACCACATATATTTTTGAAAATACAACAAATACAACTCTCCCTAAAAGAGAGACCAGACAACACAGGACAACAGCCAGACTACATCCACACCTGCGAGAACCCAGCACCTTGCGAAGGGGATAAGATACAAGCCGCGGACCAGCGGGACCTGAGCGTCCCTTACCCCAGCTCCTGGCAGGAGGAGAGGAGTCGGGGCGGGGAGGGAGAGGGAGCCCAGGACTGCTAATCACCCAGCCCTAGCCATCTGCACCAGAGCACAGACACAGTGCATGCGTGGGGTGCTGGAAACTAGGGAAACAGGACAGTAAGACTTGTGAGAGGATCCCCGCAGCCAGCGCCCACGGGACAAAGAAAAGCGAGTGCGTTTTGAAAGTCTTAAAGGGACAGGGACCCCACAGCGGGATGGAAGCATCCCAGGACACTTAGCCCAGGAGCTGGGAATACTGGGGAACTCTGGGCACCCTAACCCCCTGTGCAGCAGGGCAGCTCAGAAGCCCCTCACAGAGATAAACAGCCTCCTGGCCATTTCCACTTCAACATGGCTCAGCCATATCAGAGCAGCAGCCCAAGACAGGCCACGCCCACAGCAACTGCGGAGCTAAACTCCATAGCGGGCCTGGCAGGAAACAGAGGCCCTGTCTGCATGCAGCTGCCCAGCACAAGCCACTAGAGTTCGCTGTTCTCCCAGGAGAGGAAGGCCACAAACCAACAAGAAGGGACGTTCTCCCACCCATCACTCGCCCCAGCTCTGCAAACTATCTATCGCCATGAAAAGGCAGAATCTAAGACAGACAAAAATCACAGAGACAAAACCTGAGAAGATAGACCTAACCAGTCTTCTTGAAAAAGAATTCAAAATAAAAATCATAAACATGCTGACAGAGATGCAGAGAAATATACAAGAGCAAAGGGATGACGTCCGGAGGGAGATTACAGAAGTGAAACAATCTCTGGAAGCATTTATAAGCAGAGTGGATAAGATGCAAGACGCCATTGATGGAATAGAAACCAGAGAACAGGAATGCACAGAAGCTGATGCAGAGAGAGAGAAAATGATCTCCAGGAATGAAACAATATTAAGAGAACTGTGGGACAATCCAAAAGGAATAATATCCGCATTATAGGGGTACCAGAAGAAGAAGAGAGACAAAAGGGATAGAAAGTGTCTTTAAAGAAATAATTGCTGAGAACTTCCCCAAATAGGGGAGGAAACAGTTGCTGAGACTATGGAAGTACACAGAACTCCCAACAGAAAGGACCCAAAGAGGACAACACCAAGACACATAATAATTAAAATGGCAAAGATCAAGGACAAGGACAGAGTATTAAGGGCAGCAAGAGAGAGAAAAAAAGTCACCTACAAAGGAAAACCCATCAGGCTATCATCAGACTTTTCAACAGAAACCTTACAGGCCAGAAGAGAATGGCATGATATATTTAATGCAATGAAACAGAAGGGTTTTGAACCAAGGATACTGTATCCAGCACGATTATCATTTAAATATGAAGGAGGGATTAAACAATTCGCAGACAAGCTAAAGTTAACGGAATTTGCCTCCCACAAACCACCTCTACAGGGCATTTTAGAGGGACTTCTCTAGATGGGAGCACTCCAAAACAGAGCACAGAACAACACAAATCAACAGAATCAGAAAT